TACAAATACCCTATCGCCCAAATGTCTTTGGGTTCACTCTTTCTATAAGCATAAGCTTTAGAGTCAGACAGCTCTGAGTATGAATCCTTGCTCTACAATTTGCTAATTGTGGCTTTGGATCACAGCTTCACCAGTTTTCTTATCTGAAATTTGGGTCTAGGCTATTTAATGTACATGGCATTATAAGGATTAAATAAAAGAGTGTGTTCCAAGCAGGTACTTCAAATGATGACTTATATTATTATCATTGTTATTTTTTAAATTATTGTGTGTTTGGCACATAGTATATACTCAATAAATATTTACTGAATGAATGAATGATCTCTAGAAAGAATTCAAAGATGAAATAGGAAGTCTCTGCCCATAAGAAATTTCCAAGCTAGGAAATTAATTGCCAATAAAATAAATATAAATGAACTTGAGTTCTAGGTTTGATTTCATGGGGCCTGATGACTTAATTTTGTTACCCCATTACCAAATATTCTTCCTAACTAGACCTCAGCCTGGTACCTGGGCACAGTCATAGATTAACTCCTGACCCATTATACTCTTTGGATATAGATAGCAGAAATCAACTCAAGCTAGCTTAAGTTAAAAGAAAATTATACAAAAATCCAGGAACTGATGTCTCATGTGACCCATGGGCAAGTATACAACTGAATGTCAAGAAGCACTGGAACCAAAAAGTGGAAAACTTTTGGGAACAAGAGTTTCTCTCTCTCTGCCTCTCTCTTTCTCTCTCTTTCAGCTTTGTTTCTCTCTGAGCCTGCATTTTTTTCTGCACAGCTGGCCTTCTTCTATCTCTAGACTTCAGGGCAGAAGGTGGCCACCCCTGAGTCTCAAATCTGCACATTTTGCATCCATCCTAATTCATATTCCTGGAGGAACTCTGGATGGCCCAGCTTAGATCAAGCATCTGCCTTGGTCCATTCAATGGCCTCTAGGAGAAAGGGATCAGATTGGACTATAGGGAGGCCTGAAGGGTGTGGCCATAGAGTGGCCCCATCACGAAGGGAGAAATGGAAGAACACCCAGCAGGTGTCCACTACACTCAGTACAGACTGACGCTTGGCCTGTTTATAGCCCTAACTCTCACCACAAACTGAACTGCACGTTAAACCTTAATCCTTGTCCCGGAATTCCACTTACACTGATCTTGTGAAGCACACATAGCAAATAAAGGGAAGTGGTCTCTGCGTTTTCATTGCTTCACCTACTTTTGGAAAAATGTGGTTTTTACATAGTGAATTTCATTCAAAATCATGTTTACTTGCTGTAAAATACCTAAGTGAAAACTGAGAAGGTCAAAGGAAAAAATCTAGTTCTTTCCAAAGCTCACTAAAAACCTGTATATTTCCAAACATTCCTAAGTAAAACACTAAATGAATAAAATTTCTGAATTTGAAGGTAAATATTTCTGCTTTGATGCTCATGGTGGAGTCATGCTGACTGCTTTCATCACTGCACAGCATGGGATGTACTCTCATCCATTGCCCCATGCACAGGAAGAATTAGAGGCTGGGGTTATAATCAAGAACATACTTGGCCCCAGCCTCCCTTGGTTAAGGAGTTTTTGGTACCCTCCACGTTCTTTCTTCAATAGTCTGTCTCAAGATTGGACTTATTTTCTTTGACTTCCATCAACTTCAGCGTAATGTATATGCATTCTTGGGCCTCCTGCTATCCCTCAATTCCTTCCCTTTATCCTTCTGCAGGACTATCATGGGACATCGGGTGCCTGGTACTATAGCCAAACTAAACTAACTACAGTCTACCTTTCCCACTGATTACAACCAAAAACTCTAGACAAAATGCAAAAAATAGATACCTGAAGAGTCTAAAAAGTAAATAACAGCAGGCAGATTGAGGAGTAAAGTCAAAACGTGAATAGCACCTCATAGCCTGGGTGAAATCACCTCTTGCTAACCAGACCAGGAACAGCAATTCCTGTATGACAGACGTGTAAGAGAAATCCCACTTCTTTTTTTAACATGCTTTCTTTTCTCTGTTCTCTCCCAGCTCTGCCCTGAGATCAGCCCCAAGCACTGGGCTGCATTGCCACAGAAGCAGCGGCAGCACAAGCACCTAAAACTCACCCCCTGCAAAAATCTCTCTCTCTCTGACCAGAGAAACCAGTGAAATGGACCACGCTGTTCAAATATATAGTGTGGGTGATCCCTGTTATTTTTTTTCTTTCTTTTTTTCTCTTACTGCTTTGTCCCCAAAGACAGCCCCAGTCACACAGGACAGCACAATAGTGCAAGAAAAGAAAACTCAGAGAGAACGCTAGCTTCCTGGCATTAAGAATCAAGAAAAAGGCTTCCCTGGTGGCGCAGTGGTTGAGAGTCCGCCTGCCGATGCAGGGGACGCGGGTTCGTGCCCTGGT